CCCCCCCCGTTTCTTTGCAAACGCGGCCGAAACGAGGTGGGCCTTGTTGAGGATGACGCACGCTATAAAGCGGCCATAGGAGTTCTGGTACACGGCTCGTGAGGGGGCTTACCGTGTTGCTCTTGATCTGGCTCACTCTTTTCTGCAGCTCGTCCCAGTCAGTGTTCACCATGGCTTCGTGTTTTGAGGGAGGAGATGAAATGACTGGCATTTTACACACATATTGTAGATAGGACAAATGTCCGACAAAGTTGGTAGAATCCGTACTTGTGTGCTCTTTAGTGAATTCCTGCTTAAAAACTGAATACCTCTCTTTGCATTTGGAAAATAGCGGACATACTCTACTGCCTCCAAGTCCTGCAAATTCTGGAGAATGTTCAAATGAATAAAAACCCATTAAAATATTAATGATTTTTTTGTCTGAATGCCATCCCGGCCAGGATATTTACCGCTGGACTCCACAACGAAGCCCGCTGGACTTCACAACGAAGAAATGAGATTTGATTGGCTAAAACCATGGTAAAAAAAAAACTTCGTGTAAAAACGCATTTGTTCGCAGCGACAGCGAAGAGCAGACAAGAGGTCCAAGCCGACGATCTAATGAGCATCACAGTAGCGAAGACCACGGTTGCATCGAAGAGAAGCTCACGATGACAACATCAGGTAGAAGCACAGGAAGAAAGGGTCGGAGGGAAGACTAACAAGACGACTTCAGTTACGATGAAGACGCTGAAGACGACGGAGTTTGTGGTGAAGACCGCGGAAGGTCATTTTTTTTTCGGCGAGTTGAAGTCCCTCGTCGGTGATGACACAGCCGACTTCAGTACTCCTCTCGCTGCAACTGTGCCCATGATAGCGTTGCTGTAAGTCATGATATGGTGTCTTTTTCAACTTGCTGCGTTTAACTCTAGACATCACACTGCTCACATTTACAACAAGACCAGAATGGTGTGAAGAAATAACGTTTGGTAATTGGAAAATAATAAGAGCCGAAATGTTTTCCAAGATATGATGCACTTTTGTTCGCAGCCGAATCACTCACATCAGGTAGAGCTTTACGAGCTTCACAGGTAGATCTCCACTTTTTTTTATTTGGTTTTATATTCTCTCATGGCAACTCTTTTGCTGAATTACTGTATCGGTTCGCCACAAGCAGGATACTATCTTATTTTTTAAGGCGAGCCAAATACCCAGTACAGTTGTGAGTATGATACAAGTTATCCTCGCTTCGGCTGGGCTGTGGTCTGGTACTTACCATCGCTTTTCATTCGTAATCGGTTCCTATGAAGTTGTTTCTTGAAACTCCACAAGCCTCCAGTGGAGAAGAACCAAGAACGTATTCTCCGGGCCGTATAGCTTCACCTACTAGTTCTACATCTTGGCCAGTGAATGTACAGGTAGTGGCGTTGTGTCCAACCTCTCCGCATTTTGAACAGGTATACTGAGATCTGCCTGGTGTGCTTTTGGCCGTAATCTGGGACTCGAAAAATGCGTTGATTGCTGATGTATCGTCATGTTCATCGGTGTTTTCTGCGTTTAACAGGGGGTGAGAATTCAACTTCGACCGTGAAGACTTCGGCTCTTCACCTCGGCTTCGAATACGCTTTTCACCACGCTGTGCGTCGGCAATTCGAGATCTGCGAGAACCTCCAGCCTGACGATATATCGGTGCTGGTAGTACTATCGAGCCATGCGTACTAATGTCGCCAACAGGTAATTTTATAATAACGTCGCTCATTGCTTTATGGACTGTTCTGACCAAATATGCTGGATGGAAATACTGTAGAACAGCGTACAAAGGTGACTTTCCAGGATTCTTTCGTTCCAAGTAAAATAGCACGGCCTGGATATGGCGACAAGGGATTCTAAGCTGCTCTTGTACTCGACATGGACGGCATATCCCGGAAGCTAAGTTCGTCTCGTACATCATTGTGGAGGATGCTACGTCGCTACGGTCGAAAGGGTCAAACACATAAAAGCTAGAGCCTTTAATCGGCACAACGGTGAGTTTCGCTACATGTTTCTTCTCTGCTTCAAAAAGCTTCATCGCATGAGGCGTGATGTCAAATCCACCAGCTATCCAACCTTTTGCTTCCTGTAAAAGAGTATTGTGCGTTTCCACGGCGCGCAAACAATAAGCTTTCACAGCGCCCAGAACAAGATTATTTCGCGCTCGTTTCCAAAGCAACCTATTGTTATCTCCTTCTGCACCACTAGTAGAACGCACCCCAAAGAGTGATAATCCCTCTCCGTAAGCCGGAATATCTTTCCAGTTATCTTCGATCCACTTATTTTCATGAGCTGTCAGGGTACTATTGCCCAGAACAGTCCAGCTCATTGGATGGATAGCTTTAAGGTAAGACCACACATGCTCTTCTACTGGTTTTTCATCTCTGATAGATGTAATGCCGTTCTGGAAACGATTCCGTAAATTCTTAATGTTCCTCTCAAAATCGCGAATTGTCCGCGAAGATTGCAGACTCATAATCGGGTCGTTTACGTTTGCCTTGGTAACTTTAACTTTCTTGAACTTGTCGACTGTGTTAAAGCGAATGTGAACAGCACAAAACTTAATGTGTACTGGTAGATCCATGCTAGAGAGAGCAATCTGGGCCAAGAGTTGCTTTCCTCGATCAGAAAACGTTGGCCGATCACTAAGTGAAACTCCACTAGCAATGCAGTTTGCAAAAAACCATACGAAGTTCCCCACAGTCTCCTTGTGGATGTACGCAACAGCTACCGGTACGATGCGCTTGTTTCCATCTTTCCCAATTAGTGTTAAGCAAATTCCGTTGTATCTAGAATGTTTCATGTGGGTGCCATCGCACTCCCACACTGGAAGAAGTGAGTTTTGAACGTTCACAATGGATCCAATAGAAAGAAAAGCTCGGAAAAATCTACCAGCATGATCGAGTTGACAGCACACCCTTGATCCAGGATTTTCCTTGGCAAAAGCATCAAAATAGGATGGAAAAGCTTGAAATTCCTCACTAGAATCACTTTCCAATTTTGTCAGTGCTGAACTAATAGTTCGGTAAAGAACAGAATTCTTCGACGACACGTCGATTCCTTCCACAACTTGTAAGTTACGAACAATACGTTGTTTTGACGTGTTATATCCCTCCAAAACGGCCGCCTGAAAGCCTGACGTTCTCTCAATTTGACTTCCGGAAGGATTGGCCGTGCAACTGCAAACCTGGGAATGAACTAAATCCACTTTAGAGATATACCAAGCGTTATCCGGTACATGACTGAGCTTCGTAATAGGACGTTTACGTGCACTCTTCGTATCTTGTTTCACACGTTTCCTTTACATTCGACGAACCATTTACACCCCCTCGCCGAACAAACCCATTTTCGGTAATTTCCACTGTTGTTTTTCAACCGCACAGACTTGTTCTCATTCAGAGCCACATCCGAGATGAACTTGCCAGCTACATCTCCCTCTAGAAATGTTGCGTACAAGGTAACGCCCTCATAGCCATATTCTTCGATCAAGTCGATCGGCATCGCCCTGACCTTGCGGTTTTGGTTGTGATGCATGCAGCGCTTTAATTATAATTATCAGCAACTATAAATAACAACTACGAAGTTTATAAAAAAAATCAAACGGGAATGTTAAGATTAAATATAGTTTTCATGATATTACGAATTGCCTGGAAAATCCCGGAGGCGTACGACGTGAAAAATCGTCATTTCTAGATAATACTAGTCTTCTTCTTCTCGCCGACCACCGACGTTTTCTTCTTCAATGTGATCGACGTCGTTTAGGTCCATTGCAGGTGGATCTACAGGTACGAATCCATGAAATATCCCTTGTGAAAAACTGCCATGATCGGGAAGTCCTAGAGCCTTTCTTAAACTCGATACATCGACTTTAAAAGTGTTCCACGTTCCGTTAATCTCGAGGCGAATCGATGCTGTCTGTCTTTGAGCGTTATTTTGCGAAGCTGTGGCTAGTCGAGCCGCTGCCTTGTCAATTGCCATCGCTTGACGCGTTGTATTGTCACTCGGAATTGTGAACTGTGTACTATCGGGTTGTCTGGCATGCGTAGTGACAAGATGTTTATTGTAATTGGTCCCAATACCACTCCATTGTTCTCTTGATAACGTTCGACAGCTGCTGTCGCGGTTCTAATTCGTGCAGCAGTCGCTCGATGAAGTGTTGGTGCAGGCTTTGGGCGCGCTTTGCAGTAGAGAAAGAATTCAAAGGAGAGATTTCCCAGTACATCTTGATTCCACAATTTTCGCTCGACATTCGACACACGTTTTACTCTACGACGGAGCAGAGTTTCAAAATTGTCTGCATTCACCACGAAAAACGGATTCTGTGACGCGCCCTTGCTTGCTTTGAAGTGAATACGCTCATCATTTAATTGTAGTCCAGTAAATGGTGCTCGCTCTGAGTATCCAAACAGTTTTGTACGAAGAACTTCGAATCCATCCTCTAATGTAAACGTAAACTTCTTGATTTTTTTCCTCCACGTGGTTGTTTTTCAATAATCCCTTTGCGTGCCGTCAATATACCGTTTAGCTTTGTGTCCCCTGCCATTTCAACATTTGTCGTCGCTTGAGATGCCGCAGTAGCAGCCATGTTCTGCACGACATTAATAAAAAGGTTAACACAATTAAAAATTGAAGTTGCATGACACTATCAGCCTTTTTGATACCTTTTGTTGGCTTCACCCGCTAGAATATGGATAGACACCTCCTCCAGATGCTTGTTAATCTGTACAACGTGTTTATTCCAGGTACACAGTCACATAATAGCACAGTTAGGGTCGCGATACAAGTACATCACATTATAAGAGATACGAACGGCATCGCTACGAGCTCAATCGACAAACGTACTCAAGCACGATCCGCAGTTGGAACGACGATGTAGAATAGTTGAGCTGCTCCTGGGATATAACGCATATCTGTACAAAAAGCCCTTTAGCGCAAGAAGTCTCAAGTAGAGCTTACAGTACGTGGTCGCATACCAATGCAACGCTGCGCTCGTTGCTGTAGAGGCAAGTTCCTTTCTGGTCGCGTTACCACGTTCCTCAGTTTAATCTACATGCAGACGGACCACGCACAGAGAGATATTAATTAGAGTCACTACTTAAAATCCGTAGCAGAACGTCTTACCTCCAGTGGCCAAGACGTTTTCTAAAATGAACTGTGCGACGGGAAACCACGTGACAGCATAATTATTTTTAGAAGGCACAATTTACTGGTCTTTTTAGTGCGAGCTTGCGTTAGATAATAACCCCACGATCATCTCTAAAACTCTGATTTGCAGATACCATTGGGTCTGTTTTACAAGTCTAAAATAGAGGCAAAACATGTGCAATGCACAATAATGTAAACTTATCGTAAAAATTATTTTTAGAGGCTTCAAAAATATTCGTTCCTCTATTTTTTTAAATTATTATTTTTAGCCAATCAAATCTCATTTCTTCGTTGTGGAGTCCAGCGGGCTTCGTTGTGGAGTCCAGCGGTAAATATCCTCCCGGCCAATCAGATCTGTCGACGCCCTCTCTCACTTCGCAACTTTATTCGTCCAGGTTTAAATTTGACCGGAATGCCGCAATTTTTCACACAAAAAAGATACGAAACGTGGTTCACTACAGGGTCTTCCTACCCACGGGTTTGACACTGTATGGGATAACAAAAAGATGATGGAGCTGGCTGAAGGTTATCTAGGCATTACCCATGATGATTGGCTTG